CCCAAATTGTTATTTTTTATTTTTATATTTTTCTATTCGGATTTTTATTTTGCGGTCAAATTTACCGATTTAAAATTTTTACGATCTAAAAATGAAATCTTAAAATAGCAGCTATAATATGATCGCAAAAATAAAAATAAAAAATTAATCGATAAAATAAATATCCTAGAATAACAGCTAAATTTGATCGGAAAAATAGAAGTCCAACTTTAATGGTTAAATTATGATTTTATTGTAAAGACCATAACCGTTACGGCCCCCGAATAAAACTACATTATTCTTTAACAACTTTCTTTTAGATAAAAATCGATGTTGTTATCGATAAGTATGTATGTAAATAACGAAATTGAAGCAATAAAATTAATTATATCGATAAAGATGACGGAAATAATTTTTATAGTTCTATAAATCGATTACAACAACGAACTCGATAACAACATCGATAACGATAAATTTTCATAAATGTTAGTGTAAGTAAATCTTATTAAATTTTTTCTCTTTAAAGTTTCAAAAATTACTCATTTCGCATTTTTCGATTTAATTTCACCTAAATTAGGTTAGGTTAGAGTGGTTGCTACTGCGCAAAAAAAGCACGCCGGCAGACTTAGGCTGAAAAAAATCCCATTATTATACACTCCCATGCACTTGAATAGGGGCAATGCATTTTCGCTGAGCATGCGTTATATGGAAACAAAAGCATCAGTTAAAAATTTTCAAAAATCAACGGTTACTTGTAGCTACTCCGAATTAATTGCGCTGCAAAACTGCATGCCAGGATTCTACCAAAAAGGGTTAAGAACTTTGATGAAAATTTGTTAATTTTTGTTTTTAATTTTCTACTAAGTATGAAACTTGCGCTTACATGATTTTTGTTAGAGAATGAACTGTATTTTAATTAAAAAATAATGGAAATTAAATAAAAGGAAACAGCGAAAACGCATTGTCAAGACAGATATTTCCGTCCTTTTTCGTTCTGTATCCAGGGTCCCATGAAACGGCTAAGCAGCGGTTTGATAGAAGCTGATTGGAAACCCAACTTCCCTCAGTGTCTTTAATTTTACATAAATTTAAATATTTGCATCGCAGTTGCCATTATTTTATGCATGAAACTTATATTTACATATTTCTTTATTCTTCATCGCTTTAATTCCCATAATTATTATTTTTAATGTATTAAATGTTTTTTTTTTGTTTTATACAATCCCTCTTACTTTTAAACACTTTTGCGCGTACAAACGAGCAATCAGAACCTCATTACTTTGGATACAACTCAGAATGCACTTAAATAGTTAAACCAGTAACTTTATGTAACTCGCCGTCAAAAGTTTTATTTTTATGTATTTTCGCGCTACCGCTCCGTATGCTACGAGCATTCAACAACAACTGAATATATTAAAAGTTCTTTGGTAGCGCTGATAGTTCGCAGCAGCCCACCACCATTCACAGTTGACCAGATTAATAGATACTTGTTGGTGAGCTGCTCTTCGCTGCTAGTAGGTACGCGGCAGATATTAAATCTAATAAAGGGGGGGACGGACACACGACTAGAAAAGCATCTGCTGCCGCAATTGTTGTTGCTATCTTCGCTGCTAATACTATTGCCGATGCTGCTGAGGTATTTTGTTGTTACTTGTTTGCTGCTCTCTTCTGAATACGCCTCAGTTGACATTGCATTTATTTCATTAACTGCATACATTCCTTCGCCGTACTGGCATACTGGATGTATTTGTAGTTTTTGCAATGGCTACTTGTTGCTGCTTGATTGACAGTGTGCGGTTGCCATTGATGCGTCGCATTCAACTCGTGCGCGTAGTGACGCTGGGCAAACGTTGACATAGTGAAAACACTCCACAAATTTTATTCACCATTGCAGTAGTTTGTAGCCTATCAAACATGTTCGAAAGGTGTGCTCATTTAGTTTCGACTTTTTTTTTGATGCATTAGGATGGGCCGCAAATTTTTTCTTGTTGTGATACTATAACGATAGCAAGCCTATGTCTTCTGGATTACCTACGTGGATTCTTCATAGATGATAAGACCTTTCTTTTACCTTTTCTTGAGCAGTTGCTAGCGCTGTGATGAGACAAACTGGCTCGAGCTCTGCAATTACCTTCAGTAGAGTCGACGGACATACGTATTGCCGTTGCTCCCGTAATGATACACAGGCTATATATGTGAGAGCTTAAGATTCTGAAATATAGGAATGCATTTTTAGGGTCGCTAATTACAAATTTGTCGGCCGCTGTGGTGTAGTGGTAAGCAGTGCGCGCTTCCACTCCGCAGCACCCGGGTTCAAACCCTGGTCAAAGCAACATCGCAAAAAATATAGCAAAAAGGTTTTTTCTTAACAGCGGTCGTCCGTCGGCAGGCAATGGCAAACCTCCGAGTGTATTTCTGCCATGAAAACCAGCTTCTCATAAAAACACAATCGCCGTTCGGAGTCGGCGTAAAACTGTAGGTCCCTCCGCTTTGTGTGACAATATCAAGGCGCACGCCACAAGTCGGAGGAGAAGCTCGGCCAAACACTAACATATGTGTAAGCGCCAATCTATTATATTATTATTAATTACAAATTTGATGTAAGATTTGAAAAATTCAAAATGGGAAATCCAATATGGCGGGCTGAGTATTCAAAAAATCACTTAATATCAACAAAAATTACAAACTTTGGGTTTTGGGGTTACTAATTACTATAACACGGTGCGATAAGAAAAAATCACGAAATCTACCCGAAACAAAACTTAGCGTAGGTTGTAGGTGGGGTTGAGTACAATATGAAAATAGGTTTATCATAGTTCCTGAACCCGCCATGTTTTTGACAAAAAAAAAACATTATTTTAATACTTGAATCGCTTATCTATTAACAGCTTGATTATTTTCCATCCAATTAAAAAAAAGAAAACTTTAGAAACCCTAATTTTTCTAAATTATTTCAACTTTGACCATCGCTAATTTAAAAAAAAATTTTATGAAAGTTGCCAAATATGTAGTATTTTTCTAAAAGAAAATTTAGTTTCTAACAAACTTATACCTATACTCAATGACATGGGATAAAAATCGTCGAATTTAAGCGATTTTACTAGAAATATGGCCTTGAATTTATGTGTGTGTATGTACCGGACGTTCAGATTTTTTGAGCAGTGGGGCTAAGGAACTCCTCAATATATACTCAAAATTTATATATACAATGGCTCTTTAGCGAAAATTTGTTTTTTCGTAGAATTTTAGACGGGGTCAATATAATCGGCCGTCCGAGTCAACAATCAGCCGTTTGGAGTAGAAATTCGAATCAGCTGGGTCGATGCACAACGTGACATGTGTGCGTGGGGTAGCCAGACGTACAGAAGTAATATTAAAATTTGTGTCATTTCATGCGTTCTGAATCACCTTGTTTCACATATCGCACACACTCTTCAAAAAGATATAAATTCAAAAGTTGTCATTCTCGACATTATGTCCTTAAAATGTTCACCGACTGGTTATTTCCCTCCTAGTTAAAGCGACACCAAAACTTGTTGTTATTTGTTGAAAAACTCAGGCCTTAGTCTACGCAATGGTTACATACTAATTCGGACAGTACTCTGAAATTTTCCATTTCTGCATAAATATATTAAACGAATACATAAAGACTGGTTTTCACTGCATCATATTTTGGCACCAAAAGTTGGCCCCGATATTATGGGCCAAAAACTGACAGATAGCCGTTTTAGCAGCGCGACTAAACACCTATCGTGATCGAAATCAATCGATAAACCGCTTTTTAATCCCATTTTACAATGTGTTTTCACTTATTTGATGACAAACGCCACTGAGTTTGACATAGTGAAAACCAGCCTTAAGAACGGAAAACACCTTTGACACTAATGTGCTACATATTACGCTTCATGTTGTTGTTAGTTGTGGCCTTATGAATAACACTTTATATTCAACAATTTTATTCAGCTTGAGGAAGACAATAAAAGCGTACTAAGGTAAATGTTTATCGAGCGCACTGCGATTTTACGTGTTGAAATACGAACTGTGTTATTGAACTTTGAGTTTTTTTAATAAGCACTTCGGTACATATGTATGTAAGTTTTACTTGAAAATAAGCTGTTTGATTTCTATTTTAACGCAACTGCTTGTTAAATGAGTATGACCATATAATTAAGTAAAAAATTAATTTTTCTCCGTCACGACGCTTTTACTTGGCAAGAAAATATAAAAAAGTAAAATTTTATTACCTATAAATATGAGTATATAAGTGGGTGTATATGTATGTACATCATAAAAATTATTTAAAAAAAAAACTAAAGTCAGCATTATTAAGAACACTCCTCATTCACTTATCCTTGCGCAACTTCTGACTAGATACTTCAATCGAGTCCAACCACAGCTTTAGATCGGCTGGCATTTCCGGTCGCGTGCTAGCTTCCGGGAAGGTCTTCATCACCTCCGTCACATCACAGTTGGTGATACATTGTTTCGAGAGGGCCACAGCGCGCACAAATCCATCCGACAATGTCACAAATGATTGCTCCAAATAGATTGCCTTCTCGTCCCACCAGATGAGTTTTGTCTGAATTTTGTATGGATGGAAAATGGGAATGGTGCGGCGATAGCGTACGCTCGAGGCACCTTGTACGGCACCGCCTTTGCGCTGGCGTACTTGCTCGTACAGGCCGGTCAGCGCATAAAAATGGAAGCGTGCAAAATCCAATTCACGCAAATAGCGAGCATTATTCATGTGACGAATGAAGATATCGACATCCTGCGAGGTGCACAAACCTGAAAAAAATTGAGGTGGATTAAAAGGAAAAATTAAAAAAATAAAATAAAGAGTTATGACTCACCATAGATGGTTGTGGTGTCAGTGACTTTGCGTTTACCCTGGAACAGACGGCCAGCTAGGACAGTGAAAATGCAGCGAATGAAATAGTTGACATCCCAAATGATGTAAAGAATGAGTAAAACGACAAGGAAGGACATGGTGCTGGAGAATGAAAATTACTTATATACATATATATTAAGCAATAATATAAATATGTGAGAGCCATACACGCATAATATACATTTTTATGAGCAAAATAAATATAAAAGCTCGCAACTAAAAAAAACTACTTGTAACTTTTAAAACTTGATGCTGCCCAGAACTGGAAATGGAAAATTTTGATGTAAACTTTTCCACTTGGCGCTTGACACTAAATGTTTAAACTAAAGCTTTTGAACGGCGGCTAGGAAGCTAATATTTTAATCACCGTTGTACTTTACTCTTTCCTTTTCACCTTTACAATTACTTGCACCCGTTTCTTAAAATCTGCCACTGCGGTTTGCGTAAATACGTTTGCGTAAGCATTTTGACATTTGCCCTAAATTTATGTAAATATTCCAAAAAGTATACAATTTATGCAATTTCCAAAGGTTTACTCAACCAGGTGGCTAGAGTCAATGGCTTTCAACACACGGCAAGTTGCCGTAAAAGACGGAAAAGCAAAAAACAAAAAAAATCGCAATAGTGCTACTCTTTTTTAATACATTTCGATACATTTTGCCCACTCATTAACCACTCACCTGTTTTATTTATTTATTTTTTCTTCTGCTTAGCCGACGTCCGCTCCACACCGCACACAAAAACTTTATGAAGCTCTGTGTAGCCAAAGCACCGCTAATATTGAATAAAACACAAAAATGTTTACTGCTGCGACGCTGCACTTTGGCATGAGCACGAGTACGAAGAGAAAATGAGAGAGTGGTGAGCGCATTCAGATTTGTTTATAAATATTTATGTATGTACATATGTATGCATTACATTTAAGCTATGCTTTCCTTCATACAAAGCTACTTATTTCTCACAGCCGGTTTATCTGTCGGTATATTTGCCATTCGTAATTCTTCGAATGTACCCTACACTGCGTATTTCCGAAATTGAGATGACATAGGAGCTACTATGTAAAACGTACCCGCCTTGAAACCGTATACATTTTAGTAGCGATTACAATGTAGGGACAATACAAGTCGTACATTACGGCCCTGTATACCGTTTCTCTAGATCAGGTCATTGTAAATGAAAAAACTGCAAACTTTAACAGCGAAAATATTTAAAAACTTTTTTTGTAAATTCTTTTGAGTTCTGTTGAATCCTGATAAATAAAGTTGTAAATGGTAAAATGAATGCGTAATAATTTATTTTTTATCGAATATGACTAGGAAAGAATGGGCCTGTTCGAGGCACTTAATAAATGCAACAATACTGCAGCGCTGATGAAAATTAGCAAAACTGTGGCAACTTCCTAATTGATAAAACGTTGCTAGAAATTCACAACGAACGTGATGATTTATTCATTCGCGCAACACTGCGGTTGTGATTGCAACTAGAAGAAGCCCAATGTTACTCATACGCCATGTATGTATGAACTATAAATTGAATCAGGGATGAAAATTGGAAATTTCAGATTATACCTACATAAATGAGACAGATTGTAGCTAAAAAAAAAGTTACATCATTTATTTGTAGTTTTTCTTATTAATTTTATGAATATAAAAGGTTGATTATTACTTTGAACTTGATTGGATTTTTTTTTAACTCAGCTTTTATCTATAGACTATAGTCTAATGGAAATCGCAAAGCTTTGTTTTTGTCTAATTATGACTACTTAAAAATATTGGCGAAAAATACCAAAAAACACACTTTGCGAAGTTCAGTTATTTTTGAAACAACAGGGAAAGTCTGCTAATTTATCCGATTCCCTTTAATAGGTGCAGTAAGTCTAGAAAATATAATGGGAATTGGAAATATATTTCCAGAAATCAAAAAGCGAATATGGGTCAAATAGCTATTTTCTGAACTATAGAGGAAGAAATCCTAGACACCAGACTGTATGGACCAATAAAATTAATAGAAGAGTTCTAAATGCAATGTAAAATGTTTAAGAGAATAAATACTGTAGCGAAAATTCTACACTGGTTTGGTTCCCGAGAGGAATTTGTTTTTGGCGAGCCTAATTAAAATAAAAGGCGGTGTGGCTGACAGTTAAACTGCAACTAAACTCATTTTATTGGCGAACATTGCTTATAAAGAAAACATAAAACAAATAATATCCCGCTACTTCCGCACAAATTTCTGCTGTTGCTTAATCATACGACAGAACCGTTGCGAGCCTTCCAGTCTCTCAGCAGCTGCTATTGTTGGGATTGAAACACATGGGCGCGTCAACACACTTTCAAGTAGGGGATTAATAGGGTGATCGAAGTTTCATAACA